ACGTCATAGTCATAGTTTCGACCTGCTCATTGACCTGACTACTAGAACCGAAATAGTGCTTTGTATAGTTGAATATAACTAAGATAAATGTGTTTCCGTGTTTCTCCTTATAATCGTAGAAATATAAATTATTGAGTCTCAAACGAATTTTTTTCGAGTTTCGAATGAACATTGACGTCAGTTTCGATCCGTCCACTGACCTGACCGTTAAAATCGAAATAGTTAATGCCTCCAGATGAAATGGGAATCCGCCCATCAGTCCCGAGTTGCGTTGCTGGTGGTCTTTTGGAAGAAGGCGAACGTGACCGCTTTCTAGTTTCGTGTCGGTAGCATCGTAGAAATTTGACGCCGAGTACATTCCTTGGGAATATTGTGTTTCTCGCTTATTCTATTTGTGCACTTCTCGCTACGATCGCGTCTTATGTGGTTGGTGAACGCGTTAAAAGAAAGCAGGACCGAGAGAGGGAGACGTCGTGTTTGCACGAAATTCGCGGGCATGCTTCAAAAATATTGGAATTTATTTGTCGCGAGAGAGCAAGCCGAATGTGCCGAAGAAACTGGATGCGATTCGGAGTGGTTAATGAAATGACAATTTAAACGCAATTAATAAATTAATAGACGCAGGCGCCCACGTGAATCACATTTATTTTCAACAAACATTAGCACAAAAAAATATACACTGCATCGCAAATTACAAGTGTTCGTGTGATATTTTTGGACGATTTAACCATCCGAATTATACGAAATAATTATTATCCGATTACTCGAGCCTGCATACACGGATTATCCGGATAATCCGGATCTCGATATTCAAAGTTGGCGCGTATGAATTTGAGATTTTGTACGCGTGAACTTTTGCACATTTGCACTTTTGTACGTATTCACACACTTAGTGCGAGACACTGTCATGTCTCGCTCTCTTGCTGTCTCGCTCTCTTACTGTCTCGTTCTCTTGCTCCGTCGCACTCTCGCTCCCTCGATATACAAACCAGAGTTAAAGCCGTGTCTGTAAAGACACACGTCGCACGATACGGGTATGTATCGCTCTCGGAGGATTATACGCTCGCGTGACAAGGATCCACGTTCTCGCGGCTTGCAGCTCGATTCGTGCAGCGCATTAGATACACGCTTTGATATCAACCCCGACAGCCTCCTCTCCCTTCCCTTCCCCGTGCCTTTGCTCGCGCGTCCTTGCGTCTTTTTTCTCGCCCATGTAATCGCCCGACTTCTTTCGCATTTTTCATTGCGTCGATGTGTCGACTCTCGAGCGCGATGTTACGCGACATCCCGAAGATAAGGATTATGAACTGGCCGCGAGAGTAGCAACAGTGTAATATGCTCGATTTAGTGTTGATAGAGCGAGGGAGCCGTGAATAAATAAAAAAAGTGCGTGACCTTTTTGTTTCTGAGAAGGAAAGTCATTTTTGAAGAAACTTTCAAGTTACAAGCCTCGACTGGTAAGGTAGAAGTATCAATGCTCGGACGCGTATCCAATTCTGAAGATTCTTATTATTTTGGTCTTTAAACACAAATATCTAAACTTTCACCAATATTAGAATATACGTATTTTTTATATTAAAAGTTTAAATATTCGTACTAAAGACCGAAACAATAAGAATGTCCAGGATTGAATACGTGTCAGAGAACTGATACATTTTGTTTCATAAAATGGACCTCCTAACGCGTTACTTTGGAATATCCCGTCGGAACAGTCGATCTTCCGTTCCGACACGGAGCAAAGCGAAATAGCTAATTCGCGCTATGCGCAAATGAACGTTTTTAGCGTATCAAGAGTCCATTTCGGGATTATCGCAGCCTCGAGAGATGGTTATTGACTCTATCGCGCGTACAGCTCGATAATAGCGCGCTGAGAAACTCACGACGGCCGAACAATAGTGGACGTCGGTCAGCGATGCAATCTGCAAATTTGATTGCGAATCATGCAAGCGAATCGGCAGCGCGTAAGAAAAGGGATGATCGCGCGCGCGGTGTGTCGAGGTGTGCTTAAATATTAAAAACAGTATCCCTCGAGAGCGTCGGCGGCGACTGCGATGCATTCCCGGTGAGAACGATCGTCGATCGTCGATACAATCAATAAACCTGATTGTGAATCACTTAGCGGCGTTGTTCATCGCGCGGATATTCTCTCTTTCTCTCTCTCTCTCTCTCTCTCTCTCTCTCTCGATCCGATCGTGTCGGAGAGACGATCTGAGAGATGTGGTACGAAGGGAGAGCGAGAAAGAAAGAGAGAGGGAGGGAGAATGATCAGGACGGATATACATATTATACACATGTGGTGGTGCAGCGAGAGGGGGCAGAGGTGGGGTGGGCAGGACCCATTAGGCTAATCCCTCGTCGGCGGCCGAAGCCAAAGGAACGGAATAAGAAGGAATAAGAAAGCCACAGGCTACGTGTCATTCCCGCTCGCCTGCCGACACCTATACCCCAACCGACACCTCCGCCATAGTACGAGTATATCCGTCCAGAGGTGCTCCCTATCACGATTACCTTCGCTTCCTATTGCGCGCGAGTACGGACTTACTCGTCCGTAAGTTATTCAACCGCACGCGACGCCGCGACTGCGAACAGCAACTCCGTTATCCGCTGGCGGAAAGCGAGACGCGGTAAATCGGATTCGCACGGCGGGCACCACCTCGAGCCGCGGCTACCCTTCGATCGCGGCCACCGGATTTCGATCCTTGGCCGACCGTCCTTGGAGACCGTCCTTTAGAGAAAATCGAAACGAAACGTGTCGTACCACGAAATTTTCACCAGGGCTAGGATTAGCTAGTTGGCGATCATTACGCGTGTCTAAGGGGGAGAAAGAGAGAGATTCGCGCCAATAATGCGCATTTTCAAATAAATCTAACAACTTTTTAGATAATGAGCTTTTATAATTATCTCTTCTCCGTGAGCGCGGCATTGACGATATTTTAATAGCGACTCACGTGTTCTCCTTCTCTCGTTGGTAATGGCAGGAAGTCGTAAAGTTCCGCGCGCGCGTTTCGGCGTTTATTTATTTCCGCGCGGAGAGAGGAGAGACGCCTCTCTTTGTCTCGAAATTCGCGCCCAAGCGGCGCGCCGCGGCGCGTGCAAATTATATTGCCGATGCTTTAATTCGGCCGATCGGCATTAATCAATTTTACTGGCCGCGAAAGCAGTTAATGACGAATAAACGGCAGTGCGAATGAGACCGAATGCGCACCCGCTCGTTAAATAATTATTCATTTTTGTGCGGCTCCGCGCGCAAGGACGACGGCGAGCCGCGCGCGACGACGAGATTTCTATCGTCGCAATTTTCGGGAAAAAATTGCGAAGCGCGTGCGGCAATTACATATCGCGAATCCCGCATAATTAACCGTGCCGAACGCGATACGCATCTGTAATTGACGGTTTCGTCGTTAGCCCGGCGCGCACAACGTTTCTTCGTATGGGCGCCTTCTTATCGGCAAAATTTGCGCCTGTCTCGAGGCCTTAATTACCGTTTTTTTCAAAATTTATCGAATGCTTCTGGTAATTTACGACCGCCCGATTTCCTCTCTTCGTTTCTGCTTCCTTCTTTTTCTTCCTATTACCGTCTCGTTTGCGTACCCCGGGCGCAATCTACTTGGACGGGAACTCGCGTTTGCGCCCGCGGCGAAATGCGTCGCGCGTCGCAAAAGCAATCGGCTCGATTAGATTAATTAGACGATCGTCGGAGGGACAGCGGGGCCGCAAATGAGCACCACTGTCGACGTGTGGCAGGCGGCCCGTTTGATCTCCGCGGGACCCTCGCGGGGCCCTTGGGCCTTGAGGCCCGCTCCTTGCCTCTTGGCCCTCGACTTCTTTCCTCACATTCTCGACGGTCCACGATCGAAGGATCTTTTCTCGACCCCGGCAGCATCCACGCCGGTCTGACTTTTTAAGACTTTGGGACACCTGTACCGCTAATTCCCCCGTGTCTACCTGTATCAATCACGAAAACAGATTCTCGCTTCGCGCTCGTAACGACTGGCTTGACGTCGTGCGCGTCCACGAAAAAAAAAGAGAATCTGCCGCGGGAATCGAGTTATTTCGTCAAAAGGAATCCAGATCGGATCAATGGCAGGCAATCGGAATCGCGCGGCATCCCAAGAATGTGATTTACATATCGTCCGATAATTAGTCCTCCATGTGTCACTGAAACAACATAATCCGGCAGATGTGGAACGCCGGTCGGTAAATGAAATGAACGGATTTCTTTCCCAGTGAGGCTACCGAGATCAATAATAAATTTAACATTGATAAAATTGAAATTATAAAGCCAATAATAATAAAGAATCAACAACAAAGCTGAAAAGCAAACGTTCGATTAGAAGGTAGTACAAAAAGCATCTCGAGACCGTCTCGATGTCGCGCGAAACTGTCTCGGAAGTCTCGAAAGAAGGAAGACGACGCGCGCGTCGAGGGGGCGACGGAAGAGGGGTAATATACGCGCCCCGTAAGATATTGACACTTCTGTAATCCGTTTGTCGGACGTGTGGGCAAGCTGGCTAATCCCGCTCACGCCCACCGGAGATTAAATCCCGCCGGCTGCTCCGGTCCCGACTCATTCGGCCTAACTCGGTCTAACCGCGAAGGCGAACGGAGGCGCTTAAGACCCCCGTACACACGCCCGCGTACGTCAAACTCGGTCTATAGGCCTGAGGGAGGTTAAAAGCTCTTGATGCCCTTCGAAACGATAGGGATCTCGCGACTTTTCTTTTTTCCTTCCTCGCCTCTCCTGCGTTCCATATTTCTCGCGCGATATCGCGCCGGCGAAGCGCGGCGTACTTTGCTATCAGGCCCGCTGCGCGGGCCCCGTGCGGACTTCTTTTTCACCGCTGACAGCCTAAAAGGGGTAATTAACCCTTGGACTGTCCGATGAATTTCGCGCGGCTTTCGTTTGCGCGGCTTCGTTTCGCTCTGGCGGACGGCGATAAAAACGCGTAGCCGCACGTAACAACGGCGGGGAGGTATGTTAGGGGAGAATGGGAACTTACCGCCGCCTAGGATGCCGTCGATGGTGTAATCCTTCTTTCCGTCATCCCCTGGCCGGCCACCCCGAAGGAGTCTACTGATGGAACTGACGCTTGGCGGATCCGTGAAACCCTCCTGCGTGCGAACGGTTCTCGTTAAAACGATCGACTATTCCATCGCGTTATTTAAACGTAAAGCCATACGAAATTTCGTAAATAGAGATCGCACATGAAGTTTCGATCGGATGCACGGAGAAAACAACTTACTGCGTTAGCGCAGCTGAATTTGTTGTTACATGAGGACCGAGTGAAAAACTCGGTTGTAAGAATGGAAAGGTTCCTATAGAAGATTTCTATTCAATCAATTGCTTTGAGGTTCGTATTAATAGTCGTTATTTGATCATATGTGAGATACTCAGATCTGAATTTGAAGGTAGATCTGAATTTTTTATTTGAATTGTATATGTGATATTATATTTGTAATGGCGATTCAGCTGAGAAACTCATATTTACCTCTAAATCTGAGTATCTCATCTGAGGTAAGTTTTAAGCATCGACGTATAGTATGGCCTACGCACAGACATGGAAAACTATGGTCGCTTGAAAGAAAGAGACAGCGATCAGTGGCGGTCAAGCTGTTTCTTTCTAATCAGTAAGAGCGATAACAAAAACAATCAATAGGAATATTAGAATGACAAAGCAATTGGCCGCCATTTCTTTGTCTAATTTTGCAGACGCTTTTATAAAGGCTTCACGTACGGATGCGTAGTTCGTAATATACGTTGATGGTTTTAAGTAACGATTATTAATACAAACTTCAGTCATTTCAACCGAGTTTTAACGCAACTGAATGTTCAGATGAATGTTTCCGGTCACGGTCCGGTTCCGCAGTCAGAACTGTTATTACTTGTCAGTGAGTGTTTCATCTGGTCCCCATTCAGTTGCACGAACTGCAATTTTTTCTGTGCAACTTGGATCTGTGAAGTCCTCCAGCATGCAAACGAACCTCGCTGAAGCGATTGATCATTCTGTCGCGCAATTTTCGATATTCGGAGAAGTTTCAGTTCGGATAACTGAATGGAAACCAGACGCAAAAATTCGCTGACCAGAGATAATATCTCGGCTACTGTGACCGAAAACATTCGTCTGAGCGTTTGGCTGTATTAAAACTCGGTTCAGATAATTGAGAGTAATCGACTGAATAGAGAACTTTCTACAAGAATCTTTCTGTTCCTACAGCTAAATTTTCGTCTGCTCTCCAAGTAACAGAAAGTTCAGTTACACTAACGGAGTTGTCTTTTCCGTGTGGGAAACGTCTCAAACAGAGAACGCTGGATTTACGTAAAGTCTCATACGTTTCCGATCGACTCACTTGTTCGCTCTTAGAAACGGCGCACGCGAATGATCGATCGTAGAATTACGTGCGCACCGTCGACCTGCGTCTGGCATTTGTAACTGCAGGCTACTGCACTACAATTTGGCGCGATTATTTTCCCGTCGGCATACACATTTGCGCCGTTGAGATTCAGTGTTATTACACATTGTGCCGGGCACCGTTACGCGCGCGCGCGCCTTCACCACGGTGGAATACCTTCGCGAAATCAGGTTGGCCGGCGTTTCGACGACGAAGCGCGCAGATAACCGTGACAATTGACAGCAATCTTTCCGCGGCGATGTGACGCGGATCACCGGGTCGTCGCCTTTTAATCGCATGATTATCGCAGACGAGTCTTCGTTAGTCGAATGATTAACGAAATGAAGTGAAAGTTTCATTGCACCCTTACGCATTAAAGGCGATTACTATTTTTTTTATTTTGATCTTTTGAATTTTACGATTTTTTGTTTGAAAAAAAAAAATACATCTCGGGCTTTCGTTGAAATTTTGAATTTGGTTCTCAGAGTTTTCAGGAGTGCAATTGCACTCTCGGGTAGACACGAATGCACTTGACTATCGAAAATATGTACAATGTCGAACTAAAAATCGTTGAATTACAACCGCGCTAGTACCTATATGCATTTTTCTCATTAAGTACCCCTTTATTAAGTTCCCATTGTAGTCTCTATTCACAAAATTCCGCGTTTTCCGACCGTCAATGAGAGAAAAATGAGTTAAAAAAAAAGACAAGCCGAATTACTGCTTCAGCGTCGAGACATTTGTCTCTTCTAAGACGCAAGATAACTACGCGTCTTAAAAGAACACGAGAGCTCGAGATGAATGGATGAATAGCGGCGCGATCATTAGCCAAATTTTAATTACCACGTTTCAGGTCATAAAGAGGATTCACGTTTCAATGATCGTGCGATCCGTTATCCGCGCGAGAGACCGTTCTTCCTTAATTGCGGTAGTTTTGCGATCTTGTAGTGTGCTCCGGTGCGATCGTTACAGGAGGTAAAGAGGATCGCAGCGAGTTATACCCAGGATCCACTGAACTCTCTATGATCCACGCTTTTGCATCCTTCCTTCGTGTAAAAGATATTACATACGAAGAAAATCTCGCGACCATCGCCACACCCTATCACACAGTATCGTCTCGCCAAGCCGCGAAAATCTCCGTACGCACGCACGCACAGATACCGATCGGCGTTATCGGCGGTGCGATCGAGTGCGTGCCGAACGGGCGATTCGCTAAAGAGAACGAGATAAATAAAGAAAGCGCGAGGTAAGATCGAGTGAGCATTATCCCGCGAGCCAAGGTGAAAGAACTGCCTTTTGCCTTTGCCGAAGATTTAAAAGGAGGCAGAGCAGGAAGATGCGCGAAAAAGAACAGGAGAGACAGACAGACAGACAGAGAGAGAGAGAAACAGAGAGAGAGAGAGAAACAGAGAGAGAGAGAGAAACAGAGAGAGAGAGAGAGAGAAACAGAGAGAGAGAGAGAGAGAGAGAGAGAGAGAGATGTGAGGGGTGGTGGAAAGGGGAAAGAGATAGAAGATGGAGAAAAGAAAAAAAGGAAAAAAGAAAAGGGGGTCGTCGGTGTCGATCGCTATCTCCCGGATCGCCGATCTCAGAAACAATAACGATCCTTCTGTCGGTGGTGGCCGAGGCGTCGGGTCCGGGGCGATGACAGGAAGAGAAAGACGGGACGAGGCCCGACGAGGCAGCCGGGCCCCGGGAGCGACGAGGAGAGAGGCGCCCTGGGGGCCTCGGGTCCAGGAACGCCTCCTTCCAACATTAAATGCCGTATTAATGCCGGGCACGACCGGCCTGCCTCCACAACTGCAGCGGCGTACGTGTTCTCGAAACCATTTTTCGTCCTTTCCTTCTTCGCTCTCCCTCGAATTCGCCGTCGTCGTCGTCGTCGTCGTCGTCGTCGTCGTCGTCGTCTCTCGATCTTGGTCTTTCGATCGCCGAGCGGCGCTCCTTTCGGCACTCGTAGTCGACTCGCGATACTTTCCTCGCCTCTCTTTCACTCCGCTTTTCCTCGCTCTTGCTCCTGCACCTTCGTCCTATTTTCTGCCCCTTTCGCGTTCTTTCGCGCTCCTCGCCGTCCACGTCGCTCGCGCAGACACCCTTCCGCTCTTCCGCGATACTTTTACCGGTGACTCACTTTCTGCCTTCCTTTGCATCCTCGCGTATGTTCCTTTTTTTCTTGTTATTTTTTAAATGTTACACACACTCGTTCCCGCGGATCGATACATTTTCTCCTTATTGTCGCTCTCGCGGCCGATGCGCGCGTTGTTTCTCTCGGTCACGATTTATCTCTCTATCGAGAAGATCGCCCTCGGCAAGGGAGGCGTTCCAGCATCCAAGGAGGGCAAACCTCGTTCTTCCCTCCCTCGGCGGAATTTCGCACGGTTTCGGTTTGAGAACCGCCGTTGATCTTATCGCGGAGACACGTAGAGATACTCGAGGCCCTGAGATCCGATACTTGACTTTTGTTGCTTCGAGAGAGAGGAGTGCTACCGCGTCGGCGATCAACGTAATCGCAAATAAAAACAGGCCGCGCTTGGATTAGGATTTACATCGATCGGGATAGAGGGGGTCCGTCGCGTTAAATATCCGATTTAAATTACCGGCGATTTGCCGACGTTCCTTTTTGTTTTTCTTTTACTCTCGGTTGAATATTCGTCTCGCGAATGTAATTGAAAGAACACGAGAGGGAAATATTGTTCTTCTCCCATTTGATTCGCCGACAACTGCTGATGACACCTTACACGTGTTTCCTATTCCGACGTTTTTCTTCTAGCCGTAATATTCACCAACGCCTACGCAACGTTGCGTGCGCGATGTGGTAACTCGTAATTAAGTATATTCTCAAACTTGGCTCAGCCTGGGACACAGCGTGGGTAATTAACCCTCTCCGCTTATGGTAATATCTTCTTCGTATACTACGACGGCACTTTTATCGGCAAGAGGCATCGGACGATACGTCGGGGTTGGAGGAACACACGCGGAAGAGATTATTCACGGAAAAGTCCATTTGCATACTCGAAAATCGAGACGCGGAGGTGTTACGCCAATGAGGCGTGGGTGTAGACGGCGGTCAGTAACGTATTAAAGGACACGCGAGTTGCCTCGGGGCGCTCACGTACCCCGCTCGCCTCGTGCACGCCTCGTGCACAAGATTAAAAAGCCCCATTGAGTATGATCCCCGAGAGAGATAGAGACACGAGTAACCGCGTAGAAACGTCCAGCTTCGATCGAGAGGTCGAGCAATGGCTCGCGGAATTTTCGCGACTGGAAAAAGGCTTCTCGCGTGATCGAAATAACGAGCGACTGGAAAATGCAGCTCGATACAAGCGCTTCAAAAGAAAGGACGCACTAGCCTTTCTTCTGAATTCTCTTTTATTGATAAAAATACTTTTAAATGGGCCTTTTGACTGGCTTATATTGGCACATTAAACATCAATTTTTCAACAGTATTTTTTCGATGTATTTGATGTGTTTGAACAAAATTTAGACTCAAATCTAAATTTAAACTGCTGTTGAAAAATCAACTCTTAACACCATTATCGATAAAAGGGAGCTTGAGATAAGGACCATTTTGTATTTTTGCACAGCTCGCGCTCTCGTATTTCTCTCATTCCGTTTGATTTTTATGTTTGTTTATTACTTTTAGGTACTTGTAGTCATTCAGACTTAATTTAATTCATTCAAAAGATCCTCCCTTTTAAATGTCTGTGTCTTTTTACGATTATTCTAAACATTAATCGTTCTTACTTCGGATTTTGGTTGTTTTATGGGTGGAAGGGTTTTATATTGTTTCATTTCTATTATGTGCGAATAGTGAAAATTATCACGGACCATCGGGTACACTCACCTTCATAAGCTTGTCCCTAATTTCCCAAGAAAATATTCCCGGATTGTCTCGTTTTAATTCTTCGATTCTCGCCTCGACTTCCGGTGTGGCCACTCGAGGCTTGCTACCGCCTATCACGCCTGGTCGGATGGAACCAGTCTCCTGATATCGGTTCAGAATTTTCGAAACACAACCGTGAGAAACGCGAAGCTGCCTGGAGATCACACAAGGTCGGACTCCTGCGGCGGCCATTTCTACGATTTTCAGGCGAATATGATTCGGGAGAGGGCGCCCGTTGATAAAGACCCCACCTAGCTGATTCATTCGTCCTTGTCCTGTAAGAAACGACACGAAGTGTCTATAAAATATCACGATCGATCGAAACTGTGTAGCGATTATAAAGTATCCTTTAGATTCCTAAAGGGTCTCTGAGTCTGGCTTAAGTTACGGTATATTGCGACTTTTAATTTTTGTAGTTTCTCTCATTTTGTCATAGTATAGTTAAGGAGGAAGACAAATTATACATAAGGAGAATATCATTCTACTTTTAAGAAAAACGATTACCCACTTTATTTACTTTTTTTTAAGCAATGGTTATTTTTGTCAACGTATCTTTTCTTGATAAAAGTAATGGATAATAGTTTAAAATATATTTATCGCAAATTTTAAAGAAGTTTGTTATGTACTCAAAAGAAGAATTAATTCTCGTTTAAAGATATTATGAAACTAAATAAAAAAAAAGTCAGTTGACTTGATGTGGTAAGCAAACCGAATGTTAATATTATAATAATTCTAATCCGTTATAATAATCCGTTTTAATATTATAATAATTCTGCTGTATCGTTCATGTCAAACGACAACAATCTTATCTTCCTTTTTTAAAAGTTGATAAGAAAATATTGTTTAAATAAAAACATGCACATTTCCCGTGGAAAAGGCACAGGGCAGGCGGTGAGCGGGAATAAGGAAAAATGATTTCAAGAGAGGATCCCGAGAGGGAGGGAGACGCGGTGATTAGGCTTGAAATTAACGCCGGAATCGGATTGGGGTACGTAAACATGAAATCAGATAACAGGACGGCGTGCGCTCTCTCGCCGAAGAGGATACCAAAAACACGGTTAACAGCCGTAAAATTGCGCAAGTTATGCGCGCGAGGAGGCGTGCACGAGCCGTTTCCAGCACTAACGAGTATAAAGTCGGATCGTTAGTCGAATTAGCCACCCTTCCGTACGTGACATTAGCTCCCGTATCATCAGACCCCGAGTAAGTGCATGCGCGGTGCCGCACACGTAATTACTATGTTTACGCATTACGGATGCTCCGAGTACATACAACGGAGACGGATAATTATAATAATCGCCTGCGCGCCGCGCGCGGGAGCAGGCGCGCACGGAACAACGGAAATCTTATTGTCGGAAAATAATCGTCGTAATTTTCGATCGGCCGGGAGTCTTGTTCGATCCGGCTAGTTTTTGGCCACACGCGCGCGTATTAACGACGATAATCGTTGCTTTCGTCACGCCGATGCGAGCCGGCCTGTTGGGACGCGTTATTCCGTTTGAGACGCGTACCTGCCGCGCGCCTTCCTCGTTGCGTGCTACAAAATTACAAGATAGTTGCTTGTTTGCAACTATGATTTTTGCGTTGGTCGCTATCTGAGGGGACGCGCTTGTTGTTTCGCGAACAACTGAGAATAAAATCAATTAAATTGTTCGAAAAATCGACCCAAGGTTCATATTCCCTACGTGTTTTGATTAAGTATCTATTATGGGAGAAACAGTGAAAGAAATAGCAAAATGTTCCTTTTAGAACACGAGGAAAAAATCTGTATGTTAAGAGGATCATTTTGCGGTTTTGTTTCCACTGTGTTTTTTTTCATAATAAATATGTGCCATTGCGTGCGGCATAAAATTACCACGTTTATTGTAACTACGATTTTTACGCTGGTCACTTACCAACGAAGGGAGACGTTTCGCAAACAGGTGAGAATAAAATGGAGCAATTTGATCCCAATTTTGGCTCAAGGGTCACGTTAGCGTTGGTGTTTTATTTGTGTATTTATTATGGGAAAAATAGTAGAAAAGAAGTCGCAAAATGTTTCCCTTTCAGAACACAAGAAAAAAATCTGTGTTCTCAAAAGATCACTTTGCGATTATTTTTTTATTATATTTCTTTCATAATAAATTATACACACGCGATTATTATTATTATTATTAGATGAATCGTACAGCCAATTAAACTTGATCTGCCCTAATAGCTTCACTATAATCTGTACTCAATGGACTGGTTGATCTGATATCCTTTCATTTGTCGAATTATGGACGATTAGCAGAAATATTCAATCGTAGCGTAAGCGACAATTGACAGTCATAGTAATCAGACACGATGTGTATTCGACGTGACATCAATGTGTCACTTTTTTTCTTTTTTACCGAACTGTTTGTTAATTAGCCGATAGAGTAAGTATATATCGTTCGAACGATACGAGCCGCGTTACCGCAATATTCTCCGCGATCGATCTAAGTAAAAATGACGCCACGCCTGCTAATAAATATCCGTGTCCAATACGGTGCGCGATAATATCGAATGTAGATTTGTCTTACTCAATTTCGAAGCTGCGTATTAAAGATGGATATCAATTAAAACGCGGCGAAGGGGAATGTTTAATATGCGGCGTGGCGAAGCGGCGAGCGCGCGTTACCGTGTAATTTACGATGGAGTCGCGCGCGCGCTCGCGCGCTTTGGACAGGATTGATTTATCAAAATCGCGGCGGTGTAACCGATCGAATGTGTGTTAATGACGATCGTGATTGAATTTAATTATCGTCTTAATAACAGAGAGCGGACGTGGCGATTAAGCGGCCGCATTGTTACCGGCACGGCGTTGCGCAAATTATTTAATCGCGGTAATGGGATTTTCAAATGCGACGACTAATGTTGTCAGCGTGATTCGACACAAATGCCACCCTTTCGCACGCGCTGTTATTATCGCACGCGCGTCTCGTTCAGGATCGCACTCACGGATCTCAGATACCCTCTGAGAGAATCGCAATTAAGAAATGCAAATCACGAAACTATCCCCGTTAGAATATGCATTATAATCGTCGCTCGGACAACTCGATTATAATTTCGCCGTTTGTCGCAATGTCTAATTAATTGATTTAAAAGACTCGGCATAATCTATGCGGCGATACTTCAACCTTTATCTCCTTGATATTTCTCACTGCTTCTCCTACGTCTTGGCTCTTTGAGCACAATCCCTTCGAATAATGTGATTGGACTGACGTAATCATTTAGTTTTCAATCGATCACGAGCAAGGAGAGAGAGCATTAGACGATGATATTACGTGATCGACCGCGTGGAGCTCTCACTTTGCTCGCATGATCGCAATTTGAATTCGATTCGACCGACTCGCGTAAACTAACCTTGGAAAGGATATCCACTAAAGATGGGCCTTATCCCGCTGACGTCCATCCTGATCGCGGTTCTCACTGCGTTATCCGATTGACACGACCGGCTACTTTGGCACACACTGATCGGTAACTGTCACTCGTGCTTCACGCTCACTTGTCTCAGAATAGAAGAGAACCCTTGTTTAGCACCCGGGTCGAGAGGGATGAGTGACCGCGCACTTGGGTGCCACGTAGACGTTTACGAGCGACTGAGCCCCGTGCGAGAAAAGAAAAGACGGAAAAGGCGAGAAAACAGGCAGGTAGAGGGAAAGGAAAGACACGAAATAAAATGAAGGAACGCGACCCCTTGTATCTGTCCGCGCGCGGGGGCTAATAAGGTGCGCGTTGATATCCGAGTCGTGTTGGCGCGCGGGATTTGACAATGGTGCCCGAAGACGGGGGCGACGTCGTCCTCGGACACGTTCCTGACCGAGAAACAAGAAAACGAATCGGTAAGCACGCGTTGCTTTCGTTGCGAGGGGTACTGCGGCAATAACGTGTCAGCTGGGGTACCGGCTATCTCGTGTCTCTCCCTCGAGAAGAGAACATCGAGGGGGGCTCCGAGCCGGGCTGGCGGGACGAAGGGTGGAGAGAGAGAGAGGGTTTCGCTGGGTCTCTCTGGGACTCATGGTATTAACGGGGGCCCACTGTCGGCTACGCCCTGCCACGTGGTTGGCAAAGGAATACCGTACAATGGGCGGCTCTGGCCACAGGGCCGCCCACGGTACGTGTCTCCTCGTATATCGTCGACGAGAGGATCGTGTGTATTACCGCTACTGACACGTGTACGCCACCAGAGACGACGATAGTACGGCAAACGAAGCGACCGCTGCTCGTTGCGTCAATTTTGTCGGGGACAAGCCGGCTCCCCGACAATCCTCGTCGCTCGTGACGATATTCTTCCAGAGGGATGCATTTGCCTAGCTCAGGGGGTGAACGCGGCGAACGTTGCGCGTAACGAGCTCGAGGTCACTAAGAGACAATTGATCTTCAATCATGTAAGGTTTTTGCTCGTTCACAGATTCGTATTATTCGAGATACGCGGGTGACATGGTCCCCAGATTCAAATCATCGGTAGTGACCGTCGTTAGGACTGTTTGAGACGAAGGGTTTACGGCCGCCACTGTCCAGAAGTAAGAACATAAGTGCATGATGGAGTCGGTATAAATTTTTACGAAGGACCTGATCCATAAACGTGGCCGTACCCGCTTGTAAATCTTTCCGTACGGTAGCGGAACACAAGCAAAGCCGCTCTCTCGGCAAGTCGCTCGTGAGAGCGCCGGCGGGGGGTCCTGCGGAAGTCGTAGACCCGAAATGTGCGAGACAGAGCTACCTTCTGGAGAACTCTCGACGAAATCGTCCCTGCGACGTGTCAGGGGACAGTCACGGATAAACTAGCTTGCCACGCTGTAGGTGGTGCAAGTATTGTGTCGCCGGGCATTTCATCGCTCCCAATAAGCCGGTCATGGATTTACGGTGCATCAATGAAACACTGGAGAAATTATCCTTAACAAATTTTTCAAAATGTCTGAGACCTTGTTTAATAATGACGCTGCACATAGGCGATGATAATTACGATTACATAAGAATGTTTCGAGATATTGAACTCTGAGACATTCTTAACGCTTGATTATATATTATCGTTACTATTTATTTGAACCGTCAACACATTGGCTGCCACAATGATTTTTATTAATTATTTCAATTAATTGAAGCTTGAAAAAATTACCAAGGATATAGCAAATAAATGCAATTCACGACCTATACTGAGAAAAAAGAATGGTTAATGGAGGTAATGAGATTTTGCTTGAACGGACAAAATTCGTTCAAGCAAACGTTTAGTCGATTAAACGAATTATATAGTTGCTGTGATGAGTTATTAATTAATTCAATGATTGTAACTCTACCAACACAACTTATTGTTGCACTAATTCGTTTAATAAATACAATATTTCTATGAAGATGCATGAACGCGCGGATTTTGCCAATCCAGCTGCTCTTCTTTTCTCAGTGTGTACCCGCTAGATTGTTTCATTAGCTCTCTCTCTTTCTCTCTCTTGACTATATATTCAATTGTTTACATACACAATTAGCTACGTTTTATACGTAAATGAGACGCGGCAGTATTACAGTGCCGATAATTGATGATCCCCATGGCAGTCAAAGAGATGATACAGAGTATCTAGTCTAGTTGTATAATTTAGTTTTGTATTAGAGAATTGATTGCCCACTTCATTCTTCAGTCTATCGTCTTTTCCTGCCGTTTGATCGAGCTGTCAGTGACGAGCATCAACAAACGTTGAACATCCGATTGAACAAGTGCTTGCAGTAGCCCGGAAAAACGTTGGCTACTCGGCAATTAGTCGACGGAACGGAGCGTGTCATCGCGAAGAAAGAGGTGTTGCAAAGTCGCGTTCGTTCCGTGCACTTTCCACCCAATGGCGTAGACAAAGTGCAGGTATCAATATTTCCGTGGTCGACATTTCTCATGTATTGTCTAGAAATTGGTAAATTTTTGACCGACCGTAAAATGCGAGGACTGGTGAACTTGTCGATGTCACCATTGATCCTCGCCCTAGAGCGTTTCGGCCCGATTGGTTCACGCGACACGCTCGCACGGCCGTAGAAGGATCGTGGCTGAAACAGGCGTCAGGTAGCACGCCGTAACGCGGAAGAAATTGATTAGCCGATTTTGACGTCTCATGAGGATCTCAGGCTCGGCCGCTGGCCCTTTGTCCGAAAGCCGGACGGTTTTGCCGCGGCTTCTCCTTCGACCTGGGATCGACGTCGCGCCTGAAATCGAATTTGCCGCCGTGGCAGAGATACTCGTTCTCCGTTCTCTTTCTTCGATCTTTCTGGTAGGAAGAATCGGACTAGTGCGATGATTTTATATACAATGTATTTCGATCATTTCATTTACTCATTCATTTATTTAATGGGAAAAAAACCTATTATAATAATAAAAAAATAAGTGTGAAAAATATGCGGAATATAAAAATACAAGAAAAGAAAAATACAAGAAAGAAATATAAGAAAGCAATACCAAACATATTAGTGGCTCCAGTATCGTGAGATTACTAGTTTAATATCCTTCGACGTTTAAAATTCTTGATATGAGAGAATCATGTCAATCACAAATTATATTTGCGGAACTCTCGGACCTGCGAACGTAAAGTTGTGGGTAGCAGTTTTTCATATAAATCCAAGTGATCCACTAGGAAGTAGAAGCATCAGTTACTACACGGGAAGAACCGAATTTGAATGCACGCACAGCCTCAGCCACTTATATCCCGTGTGGGCTACTTTGCGGTTACGCCGTGCAAATATAACGACTATGCCTCCGACTTCAGAGACTTTATTTTGTTCTATCCCCCGAGAAACACTTGTAGCTTCGCGTAATTGCAAGTTACAGCCTGGGTCTCCGATATTTCGTGGTGTACTCCGCGCGCAGGAAGCAACCGGGGAAAAGGGCGTTTAGGGCGCGTTTTAAGGTTCGACCAAAGAGAGATAAAAAAAAGAGAAATAAACGAAGAAAGAGTAAGAAAAGAGGACGGAAAGAGGAGAAGACAGAAAGATGAAGAGGAAGCGACCAGCGGGAGAGGAAAGTGGCCGGAGCACTTAGAAGTTCCTTGCGGCGTTCCTGCTGCAGTTCTCGATTTCCGAGGGCAGCGCCCACCAAACGGCCGCATTAAAAATTCTAATGGGCCACCGCGCGCGGTGTGTAGCGGCTTTCTCACCTAGTTTAACATAACAACGACCGCGGTCTGTGTGGCGTAGAAAAGTCCGAAGAAATTCGTCCACCGTCTCCGTCCGTCCGTCGTCCGCGTGTGCGTACGTGTACGTCATGGTGCGTGCTGCTGCACGCGGCCGTGTAGTGGTAATCGGTGCGGGGCCGCGCCGCGGGCGTCTTTGACAACGAGACTGATGTCGGTGTATCACTCATCAAGATTTATCGGGACTTAGACTAATTGCCGCTTTTAATAGAAATTCGTGCGCGCCGGGATCGACGGAACGCGTCGAGCGCGTCCAGCGGGAGAAAAGGCCCCGGTTCTATCAAAGCGGGTCCCGAAATTGTTTTGCATTCTACGCTCGAATTCGTGACTGAACGGCAGAAGGCCGGCGATCGGTGACCTCGAGTCATTTCTTTCTGGTAATTGAATCGAAATCTTATTAGGCCTCTAAAGTTGATGCCTGTGAGAGGTGATGCCGGTAGATGAGACAGCGAAGATGAGTATTATCATTTCTCCAAGCTGATACAAAGCTGTGTCGCTGGTGTAGTCTGTTTGTCTTGATCGAGAAATTCGCGTAGACACACATTTTGGCGAAAACTGCGAGGAGAAGTAAGAAAGTTGGGACTGTTTCACGGGGAGCGCAACAGGAGGGAGAGGCACAGAGTCTCGATGATTTACCGTCGTTCTCGGACACTACGGCTCGAAGAAAGAAACGTTTTAATTATGCGAGTTTTGTGGCGTTTAACATATGAGGAAAAATACGAGTCTCATTTCCAAGTCTCGTGATCCCCGTGGGGCTGGCGGCTGAATAGGCGTCCACGAAAACTGTAGTTTTAGCCCGGGTCCCCTGTCTTTCTTTAACCGCGGTCACCATCGTTTGACTACCAAATGCCCCAAAATATGTTCCTGATTACCTTATTGAACGGATGAATGCGTCCTTTGCATAACTTTGGAACTGGGCCATCGCTGTCGGACGACCACCCGTACTTAACGCCGCGGAAGAAAGAGGTGTCTTTTTAAAGACTGGGCCAGAAATAATACAAAATCCACTGTTCTTCTGTGCTCAACGCGTTATCTGCGAGACGAGTTAAATTATCGGAAAGACCCTTCAGTATATTCAAAAACGCACATACGTGATACTCAGAGTCCGTTAAATGATAAGCAGATTTTCCCCTATGTTCACACGGACTCATGTAGAATATAATCTTAATTACCCTTTTCTTCCAGACAAAAAGAAATAAAGCTTGAATAAAGATTTAGTTCGGTGTTATTCAATATTTGGTTATCTTAGCGGCTGACGATTAATATAACAACAACCGTTAGTCGGTGATTGGCGAGGAATTGTTTTGGTGTTTTTGTTAAAAAAAGTAAAAAAAGCCAAGTGCACGCGCGTTAGCATCACTTTATTGAAAAATACAAGACAGTTTTATATACTCTCTACAAAAGAAATGATATCAAGAGGTTACATTCGCCAAGTGCGAGTGATTAATCATTTTTCAAATTTATAAACATATATGGTTTTGATTATATAATATATTTATAAATTAAATATGTTATTAATAATATATTAGTAATATATTATTAAATAAAAAATAAAATAATAAGAGAAATACAATAATATTAAAAAAAATTATAATAACTTATACAAAAAGTCATTGGCGTGTCTTTTTATAGACAAACGGTTCTCTTATTTTAATGATACCTATACAGCAGTTAATATCAATAAAAAAATTAACATACTTATA